GCTGCCAAGATAGCAATCGAACAAGCCCCGCCAGTTATCAAAGAGGTGCCTGTTGTTGATAACATAAAGGTGGAGCAATTGACACTTCAAAACCACGAACTTGAGGTACACTACATTTGTAAGGGCAGTACTTTTCGTTTAGAGTAATCATGATTACAAGCAAGAGCATTTGATACATCATACATGTTATATATAGAGCCAAAAATCATCTATATCCCTCGACCATAATCACGTAGGAAGAATAAAATTAACAAATCTAAAATCGAAGAGCCATGCAATACAGCGCAATATATCTAGAAGGATGCATAATTCACAAATGACTGGTAGAGGAGAATTTGATGAATAAACTCAAACGAAGTGGATATCTGATGACTGAGTGACACACACAAAGAAAACTGAAAATAGATACATGATGATAGCATAAAATCATGAAATGATGATCTTTAAATAATATTTTTAGAAGAAGGAGAAACAATGATGAGAGAGACAGAAATACATGTAGATATATTCCAACACACTGTTCGATTCCCGTTTCAGATAACATTAGAAACTAGCACATTTCACACGCATAGAGCATGCAACCTAATATCAAGTGCAAATGTGCAGGAAATCATTAATGAACTAAAGAAGCGGGTAGAGGAATTTGAGCAGAGTTACTCCGAGGTGGAAAAAGAAAGACATGAGAGGCTTAAAGAAGCAGAAGAATCACAGATCAGAGCTTCACAATTACAGGAAACCATTGAAAGGTATGTGATTCTCGCTATCTGCGTATCTGAACTTATCAGTTATCATAGTCGTTAACTATGTTATGACTGTATTCCACTTAACATCTCTTCAGACTAGAAGTGAACCTATCAACTCTTGAATCGGAGAATCAGGTTCTACGCCAGCAGGCTTTGGCTGCATCAGCTAAAGAGGACTTCACTGAGGAAATGGAAGTGTAAGAATATAAAGAACGAACTTTTCAGCTTAAGATTTCAAATATTTGTTCCTGTGGCACTTGATAAAAATCTGGGCTACCATTAGTGGGAAGGTCATAACATTTTTCCTCCAAAACGAGAGATATAAGTTTTCATGGCTAACTTTCTACAACTTGAAGTTGTCAAATATAGATCTGTTCACTTAGATAAGTTCTTGAAGGCAGTCCATGATCGAAATCTGAAAAGGCTTTTTTTCCAGATTGAGAGTAAAGATAAGAGATTTGGAGTCTGAGAATAGGGTTCTCCACAGTAGAGAAGTGGTTGTGGAGCAAATATCAACTTCTCATAACCAAGTTGTAAAGGTATATAAGGTTTTACTTGTTTATACTAATTGCTACAGTAATATCCAATTAACTGATGGCTTCTGTAATCACAGGATTTGGACAATGGATATCAGACTCATATTAATGGCTTTCAAACGACAGACCAGGATCCAATAAGAAATGTAGAACAGCACGTAACTAACGTAAACCAAGATTCTATGCAAAGATTTTATAAATAAACAAGTTTTCCACACTAGTGTAATGCGATATCAGTTAATATGAAAGTTGTTTCGTCTGCAGGATCCTGAGGCTACTCCCATTCGCCTCACTAAACAGAGATCCTTGACAGAGAAGCAGCAGGTATATCATTTGAAAACCATCTCTTATTAACGGTAATAAAAAAAAAAATC